ATCATTTCTTTGTGTAACAAATTATTCAACTGGTATTAGTTCTTTGCCGTTTTCAGTTGCTGTGGCTGATTTGAATAAAGACAATCATTTAGATCTTGTTGTGGCTAACTGGGGCACCAATAATATCATGGTGTTGTATGGATTAGGTAATGCAACATTCACCAGCCTAACATTCTATACTCTTGGATATAATGCAAGTCCTCGATCTGTTGCTATTGGAGATATTAATAATGATAATTTATTGGATATAGTTGTCGCCAATGATGGAACTAGTTATGTCGAAATTCTCTTACAAACCTGCTAATTTTATTTATAATAATTTGAATATTGAACGATGTCGTTTGTTGATTACGAATTAACATTTTCATACATGTTATTATGTAGAAAATGTTAATATTATTTAAAAAAATAATAATTCATATTTTATTGATGCAAATAGTTATAGTAGATGATGAATTAGTAAGATTCCTGTTTTTTTTTTATCTTTCAAAAAGAATGATAATATGAATTCAACGATTTAGTGTTGCATATTTTATTATTTCGATAAGAATTATAATATAGAGTAAAATTGTTGGATGAAAAGATAGTTGAATGAAAGATATGATTATTTAATTATATTAAATGTGTAAATCATATGAAATTACAAAATTATTTTAATGATCTGTTGAAAAGAATAAAAAATGTGTTTATTCTCTGTAAGTGATATCAGAACGAAGAATAAAGTGAAGATAACTGAGAAGATTTGTTACTATTGAACTAAAATCAAATTCTTTCTTTACTGATACAAAATGATCTTAAGATAGAATGGATCAACGATTGCCACTTCTTAGGAGATAGAAATGATGGAAGCTTTTTCAGTGAGAATTTTTGGAATATTTATTCTGACAAAGTGTAAAGATAAAACCAATAAATTCATTAAAAGGTTTTGATCTTGTCTTCTTAATATAATAAAAAAAAACCCACTGATATAATTAAATAAAAAAAAGAATTNGCTAATAAAGTAAAAGTAAGGGAAAAAGTAATGCCAAATGTTGTTTGTTTACCAAAAAAAATATCATTTGCGATATAATATTGAAACAATACCATTCGATATATATAACACATATATTAAGCAGAACTTTTAATATATATGATTCATCAGAAAGAATGGCTTTCGGGCGATACCTTTTCTAATAAATCTCATCGAAATAAACACAAATCGTACAAGAGTCAAATATCTTTGTTTCAAAACTTTATACATTATACTCAAAGTATATTCGAAAGAAATGTTGAATATATTTAAAATAAGCATTTGATGGTAATACCAAATAAGCTATATGAAGATTTGTGTCTTTACCGAAAGTTTCAAGAGCAATGTCATTTTTTCGGTAGGCTCGCAATTAATTCACACAAATGAATTGAATATGAATGGGGAAGAACGATTAATAGTTTAGTCGATGATTAATTTTACTGATGATGACATCTTCTCATTCACTTTTGATGAATCATATATATTAAAAGTTCTGCTTAATATATGTGTTATATATATCGAATGGTATTGTTTCAATATTATATCGCAAATGATATTTTTTTTGGTAAACAAACAACATTTGGCATTACTTTTTCCCTTACTTTTACTTTATTAGCGAGAGAAACACCTGGTTCTTTCATAGAATATTTAAAAGTATGAATATCTGTTCGTCATATCTCGTTTTGTTGCTAATGACTATGCGTAGTTGGATGTTTACTCTCAGCAGCAGTTTTCGACGCTCTTTCTAATAATAAATATCTAAGAGTTGAAATTTGAATTTTTTTCTACGAAAAGCATTATTAAAATTCGAAAAATTGAAGAAATGACATCGATGTTTGAATATCATAGCAATGAAGACAGTGAAAACTTTTATAATTAAAATGAAGCCATCGGATCACTATTTCTCCTGTTTCCATCGTTATAACAGCTTTTATGCAGCGAAAAGAAGACTAACTTTATCATGAATTGAAGTTACACTTTCTAGTTACGCACCAGAACTGTTTTAACAAGAATTCGAGGTAATAAATGTCTGTGTTTATTGACACAATGCTTACTGGTGTCTCAAACTTTGCTGTCTATCTCATTAGAAAATTAGAGTTCGATGCAGCTTAACATTTGAAGAAAATTAAGTTGACTGTGTGTGTAATTGATTGCTTCGTTAACACTCATACGTACATGCACATCCCACCCAAACCCTTCTTTGAATACTGGTCGATGTTTGTTTTTATTAATTAAATCGGAACTAAACTAATAATTTTGTTTTGTATCTTTATAATTGTATTGCCAAACAACCCAAGAATGAAAAGCATTAGACTGATTGCGTATCAGTCAATTTATTAAATAGCGATCTATTGTTGTATAAATTTGAATCTAATTTTTTTCAGTATTTTGATGTGATTTTGTTTATCAACATATTTATAAATATTTATCCCATATTTTGTATTACGAACACTAGGAATATACGGTACCGAAAGTCATTCTCATTCAGGTCTACTCTGATTTTAAAATAGAAACATGTTTGATTTATATTAAAATTGAGTAGTTCATCGATTAATGCAACAAGTCGAATTGATAAAAGACATCACTGTGAACATTCTCAAAATTTGTTTATGATATGCAAAGCTTTGTCGATGATCTTCATAAAAAATAATTTTATAAGAATAATTGATTTTTATCTAGAAGTATCTTTCTTCGAATATTATCAATTCTATTATCAAAAAATAGAAATCTATTAATTTTTATTTAATAATTCGTATTTGTGAATGTGTTCCCGAAATCATAATTGAAGGAACTTTTTTCGGTTATGATCCATCGCTGACGCATTGTTTCCATTTTACCACTTGGCAATATAGGAAAAGCAATATACATCGCTTATATTAGTCAACATTTTTTTTCCGAATTTTGTAGGAATATTTACCCCATAACACGTTGAAGAATACAAGAGAAAACGTCTTTACTACGCTACCCTTGTGTACTCTTCACAGAAAAAGTCAGGAATGTTGCGGCCGTGTAGGGTCACTCATCTTGTCCAAACAAAATTGTAGTCTCCATGTAGTAGACATAGGCTGATTCCCCCATCTTGATCACTTTGTAATATTCCTGAAGCAACCACTAAGCTACAAGTCAAAAAAGTAGAGAATGCAGTAATGAATGAATAAGTAAAGCCATTCAAGTATGAACTTCTACTTTCAAAGGAAATAGGTTGGATCCTCAATATCGGTGAAAGGAGGCACTCATTGTAGTGAAACCAAAAATCAACAAGATATAGCAATGAAAAACAGAGATATGTTCAGCACACATGCCAATTTTAAGAAAAAAAGATGAGACCAAAGCAAAGACTTCTTCTGTGCAACTGATTTGTATCGTTTTTGGGAATAGCTGAGGACGATGTGTCAATTCTGCTCACATCGAGACGCACATTCTCGGTTCCCTGTGCTTCGTACGAAACCATGCATTGTTACATCAATGTATCAGTTAAGGTAGCATTATCAAATCTAGACGAACATTTATTAAAGAATCTATACGAGTAGTTATTGAAATAGGTGGACAAATTAGTTGGTACCAATAGGCTTTGTAATAAACAACCGAAAAAAAACGGCAATGTGACGAAGAATTTTTCATACCGATATTCTGTGTTGAAAAAAACTTCAATTTCGTTAAAATGATTTTTCGGCGGCTGGAAAAGAAAATTTCCGAGAAAATTCAATAGGAAATTCTCATGAAAAGAAATGATTCTGAAATAGTTGAGAAAAATACTTTGTTTTTTTACAATGCACATATCAGCCAACTAATGCCATGCAGTGTATTTTTTTGATAATTTTTGTCTAATATTTCTCTGAAAAGTAGTAATGCAACAGATTGTGTATCCAAGCTTTTCTTTTTATTTCTTTGTTTTTTTTTCTCCTTGAAACCATTGACGAACGCGAAGAAAAAGAACATGCTTTACAACTAGCAAATAATCAAAGTCACATGATATTCTTCTTTTCTGTTTGTTTTGTTCTATGACGAGATGCATATTTTTTGTCTTTTTTCAAAACTTATTACCATTTCAAAAGAAAAAAAGGCTAAAAGTACGTACTTTAGGAGTCGCTTTTCCAAGGAACAAGATAGAGAGCTGCGACTTTTATTTTTCGAATCTATCGTTGTCATAGCATCAATTTATGTGATATTCAAAAAACAAATGTCGATAGATGACACCAAATAGTTGTTCAGTGATTTATCAGCAGAACACCGAAAATTCTATGTAGATGACATGGAGTTTTAGTTCTAAGTGTGTTAGATCTGCGTGCTCAAGGTTTATATATGTAAGAGAACCAGAAAATTGTATCATGTTTCTGAGCCAGAAAAGCTCGTGAGACCTTTCGCAACTAACCTCATAATGCTACGACAATAAACTTGTAATTGATCCTTCCAATTCTGCTAAAAATGATCATACATTTCTTATTTTAGCTGAGAGCAATGAATGCACATTTTCCTTCAACTCTGTTTCACTTTAACGACAGAGCTTGGCGAATATAAGTCTAATATTCTGTTTTTTGGCAACTTTATCATTTAAAATCTAACTAGAACACTTTTCAAGATCCTATCTGAGATAAAACTGTGAATTTTTTTGATGAAAATGCAGTTTTTACACGAAGTTGAATTCAATCTGTTTTTACTTTCTACTTCTTTTATATTTTATGCACAGATAATGTGATCACGGTTCAACAGCTGCGTACTTAAGTTTCATTTCCTTCCGTTAATTCGAATCCGATACGTATCAAAATCCAAAATCTGACTAAATCTTTTGATTTTTTGAGTTTGATATTAATGTCTAGTTTGGGAGTTCTAGTGTAAACGATTATTTTTGTTAATAGACGAAAAGAATTCAAAACCGAAGATTAGACCAAGACTCTAAGTGACAAAAAATTGGTTTAATCTAATGCCTATTTCGATTTACAGTAAGTTTTATAGATTGTATTCAGAGTTTATTTAGTCGTCAGAAAACTTGATGCTGCGTTTATTATTAAAATCAAGAACTGCATATACTATATCAGTTGTTCGAGGCGTTACAGTCACTTATACAAATACACGTACTTATCAAACACGTATTCAAAAATTACATCACGATGGAATCGATTTGAAACAACAATCAGTTGAAATAAATCCCGTTGAACATATTCGTCGATGTACATTCCTCAAAGATCTGGACATTTGGACATTATACAAGACAATTTGTCCAAATGTACGAACACTCGGTGATGTCTTATATGAAGGTCGCATTGCTTCAAATAATGGTCCATGTGTGGGCATTGTGCAATTATCGAATCGTACAGAACCAATACAATGGCTATCTTATTCGATGGTAATTGAACGAAGTCAGATCATTGGTTCATATTTATGGACATTGGCCAAACTAACACCAATGCAGTCAAAAGTGACCATTATTTCATCGAATCGACCTGAATATTTAGTCGTTGAGCAAGCCTGTTACATGTATGGATTTATTCTTGTAAATCTCTATACTAGTTATGATTCTATTACTATTATGAGTCTACTGCATCGAACTAAAGCCGAAGTACTTGTGGTGGATAGCATTGAACGCATTCAATCAATTCAAAATGACTTATTGAAAAATGATCAAATCAAAGAAATTATTGTCATGGATGATATAATCTGCGATAAGCAGAGTAAAATATGCAGTATCTCATCAATCTTTAAAAGGATAAAAACAAATGATATACGTGAACGACCGATCATCGATCCAGAAACTATTGCAACATTCATTATGACAAGTGGAACAACAGGTAAGATAAAACAAGAAACATGAAAAGTATGCTGAGTTTAACTACATAATTATGGTTTCTGGCAGACTGAATCAATGATGTTTCGATTTTGAAAATTATTGTTATGAACATCATCTCGAATTTATGTTTTCGAAACAATATAAAATTTCAATAATTTATAAATTCGGTTGAAAACAATGTTTTCATTGATTTAATCTGATATTTTTTTTCAGTTTTTTTAAAACGTATTTTACAAGAAATCGATAGTTCAAGACTCCAACGTGAATAAAAATAATTTATTCGTTGTTTTTAGGTGAACCCAAAATTGTTATGTTATCGCATGAGAATCTTTTAGCAGCATCAAAAGGTAATATTCTTCGTCTAGAACGAGCTAAACTCAAAGGATTCGTTACAATTCGACATTGTTCAATATTACCATTGGCTCATATATTTGAACGATTTATTCTTCTGGGAGTCTTTCTACGCGGTACTCAAGTAGTATTTTGTCCAGTACCCGAAAAGCTTGTTGAGTATTTTTCCATTGTAAAACCTACTCAACTTACAGTTGTACCTCGTATTCTCAACAAAATTTACGATACGGCCATGATCAAAGTTAGTAAAAGTAAGATAAAACAATATCTTGTTCAACAAGCATTACATAGTGAAGAATCATGGTGGTTATCTCGTTTAATTTTTCGTAAAGTAAAAAAATTATTCGGTGGTGAATTAAAAGCAATGTTTACTAGAGCGGCACCAATGACACCTGATGTATGGCATTTTTTTCGTATTGCACTTGATATACCTATTATGACCGGATATGGACAAACAGAATCGACAGCTTGTGGTACCAGTACTCATGCTCCTGATATGTCTTGTGGCACAATTGGTTCACCTGTTGCTACTGTCGAAATCAAACTGATCGACGTACCAGATACGAATTATCGAAGTGAAATGGATCAAGAAGAAATTTGCATTCGAGGTCCGACTGTCTTTAAAGGTAAATGCCGTTCGTTAATGAGTCGCCACTGGCAAGTAAATCTTCTGAGATGTCAAATCGGTATTTGAACGAAGCTATATTCCTTCGATAGGTCCTAGTGAACAACGATAATGTCTCGAGTGATTTGATTGTGCAAGCTTTCATTTGTGAGATACCATATGTCTTGGTCTACATAAGTTTCACCTGAAGAATCGGTTTTTAAGATACTATTCTAAAAAATGAACATAAAACATTTTGTGTTATAAATTGATATTAACAATGTTTTTCCTTCCATTCATATCTCAACATAAGAGCAACCAAATGCCTGAAACTTTCATAATAAACTACTAGTCTGATAGGGATCTTTCTCTATGCATAGTTTTTAATGAAATTCAAAACCATTTTCTTTCGCTGAAACCGAGATTCAGGGGACTTTGCTCACAAGCAGAGTAAAAATATAATATCTTACAAAATCAGAAGTTATTAAACATCTCGAAAAGTCTCTTCGTGAGAAATTTCTGGTTACATAATACATTTCATAATAAATTATGATCATTTTTACTAGTTTTTTATTCGGTTACTATAATGATGAAGAAAAAACACGTGAAACAATAGATCAAGAAAGTTGGTTACACATAGGCGATGTTGGAGAATGGACAAGTAATGGAGCATTGCGCATTATTGATCGTGCCAAATATATATTTAAATTAAGTCAAGGTGCATATGTTGCTCCAGAACGTCTCGAAGATATTCATATGCGTTCTCGATGGGTCGCACAAATTTTTGTTGATGGAATTTCAACAGAAGCAACAATAGTAGCCATTGTTATTCCAGATGAACAGTATGTACGAAAAAATTTTAAATCAACACAAGCAACGATGACATTCGTAGAATTGTGCAGAGAAGAAAAATTGAAACAGATTATTTTGTCTGATTTAATTCGTTTAGCTAAAGAAAACAAGCGTAAATATTTTGAAACTATAAGCAATATCAGTCTTTACTCTGAGCCATTCTCACTCAAAAATAGTCTGCTTACCATGCCACTCAAAACACGTCGAATGAATGCTCGAAAGCAATTTCAAACAATTATTCAATCACTGTATACTATTGATAGAACGACAACAAACAATTTATTATCGAAATAAAATTATGCGCATTTCAACTTTCTCTTGCAGGTATCATTTTAGCTTGAACTTTTTAGATTGTTTTTTTGAGATAAACGCTTTTGAATTATTTTTTTGGAAAATACTGTGATGATTTTTCTTTTCATAATATAAATTCGAATATTATCATAAGCTTTTTTATCTAAATTCGGCACAGAAGACTATAAAAAGGTATTTATAGAAGAAACTAAGTGCAGACGAAAAAACCAAGATATGAGCAAATTTTCAATGTGCAGACCTTGTATTCACCATGGCTCCTGGAAAACTCATTAATATCATTACTAGTCAAGACGAATGAGAAGATTGATCTGAGGTTATATGGAGGTGCTGTCGTAGGTCTTCCATTCATTGACACTCAATTCATAGTAATGGAGTGCAAAAGAAAAGATCAGTGTTAACATGTGGGAAGCAATCTATGTATTAAGTGTTTTATTCGGTGTGAAAAAACTAACTTGATGCATCTAACCATCTATATCTTGCAAATAAATAGGCCATTCTTCAATCGTCCTTGTTTCACGAGGTATAATACGCTTAAAACAGTCTACCTGCCGACCTTACATTTGTCAGTATTGGATCGGATGAATAAGACTACGAGGATAGCCCTTTATATAAAATGAATGAGATAGATGACAAAAAAATGAACTGAAAGAAATGGAACAACTATAATAACTTTTAACGTTGGATTGGACGGCAATGTAAGAGAACATAATCCATGAAATGACCAAAACATTATTCATAACTATAGACAACTAAACGACACTGGTAACGATAACAGTTGATCTATTGTTGACGCTGACACTTCACTTCGATGCCAAAAACGGATGATGTCATATTTAGATCTCGACGATTTCAAGTAGCAGACAGTAAAAAGAGGTATCGCACTACAAAAACAAGTATCCCATTGGGAGCTGTCACATCATCTTTTGTCTGTAATGTAGTATTTTTTATTATCCCATGTGTTGCCCGTTACCTAGTTTCATATTCGCGCAAAACTCTTTCATCAGTGATAGTCTCATGTTTCGCTAAGTCTCGGCATCAAAGAAATGAATGAATCGGTCCGAGTTCAAATATATCTTAGCCAAGATAACATCCGAAATCAATCAACATAGTGCCTTCATGTTTGCATTTTTTAAGAGTATCTTGATAAATTGAACTTTGTTAAATTGGAAAATCACGAAAAGTATGACGATCAAGACATGGATGATTGGGTTTTTGTCAGGTACATTGGTGCATGATGATCAGGTGACGACAAAATGTTGAGACTGGGATAGAAGCGTACTTGATAGAGAAATGTTCGGTATCAGCATTAATTGACAGTTCCTTCACGTAACATGTGCATTTTCTGTCGTCAAATTCTTTTACACACATCTTCAAAAGGATTCAACGAAACAGATCAAGAATTAATTGTTCAAATCAAGCAAATGTATAATTTTCTAACTAACTTCTCAGCTAAGAGTTCATCTGTTGAAAAAAAAAGAAATCTTTTTTTCTGAGTTTTGCATGAGGGAAAAGAGCTGAAATGAGATTATTTTAATTTTCTGTCAACGTTTAATCACAAAAATCAGTGCTATCAAGAGCCTCAGAAAAATCGAAAGTATCATTTTTTTGTACTTATTATGGTAGACTTCATCCTTTAGGTGTAAGAATCGCCTTCTTTTAACCACCAGATTCTACCTACAGGTTTAATTTCTAGGAAAATATTTAAAATCAAAGTACAAAAAATTGAAAAATAGACCTTTTTTGATATAAAATTGATAACAAATTTAAAAAATCAGCTCTTTCTCTCTTGGAAACAATACAAACTTTGTTAATAATGGATAAAGTGTTGTAAATGATCAGTTCTTTTCATTTTATAATGCATTTGTGAAATTAACAATGATATACTATATTAAAGCTAACATTTATTGAAGATTAGCTTGAACGATTTAATTGAATATGATAAGAAAATCGAAATATGATTTCCTTTATCGAACGATGAGAATCTTTAATTATTTGTGATGTATTCTCCAATCATTTGCAGAATTTTTTTTTGCTTTAAATAGGCTAGGAAAATATTATCAATTCAATAAACGAAGATTCATCAAATGAAATTTTCATTCAAAATAAATGCGAAAAATAGAATTAGCTCCTTTTTGTTTGTATCATATTCAAGAATTTATCATTCCTATAGTCCTATTCATCTTCATCTATTATTCGCAGTTTTTATTTTCTTGTCTAAACCTCCATTAATTCTTACTTTTTTACTTAAAATCAAGATTTTGTATTGAAATATTCTGAATTAAACTAAACTTTAGATACATAAATTTCCATTTAGCGAATTTGACAGTTTATAATTTACTGTATGGTTTTAAGACTTTGAGCAAAATTTTATTTTCGTCATCATTGAATCCAGCTTGTCGGCTTACCTCTAAAAATATTATTTTAAACATATTCAGACGATGATTTTCTAGTGAAACTTAGGAAACTGAGGCTCAAATTGAATTAGTTTTTTCTACTCAAAAATCAGATGGATGAAAAAAAAGATCATGTGTGAAAGAAAATCTCCGAGGGGAACCCTTACCCTAAACTTCTATGAAAAAATTTTTCATTTTAAAAACTGGCCAATGATATATTATTCGATGCAGTTTTTCACGCTGACTTGGAATATATCTTTATTTTTTTTTCTCAAAGTGTTTCTATGACAAAGAAATCGCGAAAAATCTTTAAAAACCAAGGTTTTTAGAAAATCTGTATCTCAGTCAAGAAATATTTGCATTAACTGAATGTGTGTTTCAGTTATAGAAGAACATTTTCTAAAAGTTTCATCGATATTAAATTAGTAGAAAAAAGTAGCGGTCAACTTTACTAAAGATGTCTTTTCGAAAAATGCATCATTTGTTTTTTCATTAGTCTTGAGTATTGGGTGTACTAATCGATGCAAATATTTTCGCTGATTCAGAATATGATATTCGTTTTTTTCAGAACTGAAGTTCTGATAGTTGAAATCTCGAAATATGAATTCCTATTTTTGGTGTTTTGTTATAATATCGGAAAAAAAGATTTTCTTAGCAATGAAACAATATTTTTTCAATATCATACATCATTTCTTTTTCTTACTATATGACGAATAAAATCAAAAGAAATGATTTTCGATAAATAATAACACTATTGAGACTCTATGCTTTTGATGTGCATCAATTTGAATGTAATTTTTCTCAATTTCACTAGAAAAATGTCGCCTGAATATTTTAAAAATAACGTTTCTAAAGATAACTCAACGAACTTTATGCAACCATGATAAGAAACAAAAAATTTGCTCAGTTTTTGCATTGCCGGCGTCTCACTTTTTTTTATCTTTATTTTATATACTTTTGCTTGTTTTTCTTGATTGTTTTAATAATTTATTCGTTTTATTCATGAATCTGTAAATCAACATATTCGATTAATTTTTGCTTTTTTATATTTGAGGATGTGATTGTTTTTGTTTTATGTACAATTTATAATTTGCTATGAAAGATTTGTATTTATTCTCCAAATAATTGTTATTGAAGCATTGTTTTTCTTTATGATATTCAAAAAAAATAGACAAAAACCACAAAATCAAATTTTTTGTTCTTCTTGTCTTCAGAATATTTCGAAATATTATTTTGTTGATTGTTCAAATAAAGTTTTCTGATAATCTTCAATATATCGATGAATCTTAAATAATTTTTACCGAATTATAAAAGAAAGTATTCAAATATATTTTTTATTGCTAAATATTCTATTAAGGAATAATAATATTTATATTAACGTATTTTACACTTTGTTATTTTCACATTCCAGGCGTAATATATGAAATCTCAGCATCCTTTTTTGTCTGGTTATGTAAGATATATGAATCAAATTGTTTATATATGAATCATCGAGAGTTGGAATTTTCCAACCACTTTCAGTGACACAAAAATCAAGCAAACATCTGGTTTCATTGAATAAATCATAGTTCTGCAACAAAATAATCATTCATTAAATCGATATTAATCCATACTAATCTTTAGTTCATAAAAGAAAGAAGTTTCTTCATTGTTGGACTAATTAGAAAAATAAAAAAACATTGTTACAAGTTTTCTATTTAATTATTTTGAATTTAAAGTTCGTCAAAAGTAAAAATTGGTAAATAATTATGATAAAAATTCTCGGTTAATTTTTAATTTACTGCTTAATTTTGCAAGCATCGACATTTATTCTAACATATTTTATTAATGTACTATTCTTTTGTCATTAATATATATGTTTTCTCCTTCTCAAACTTTCATCGATTATATTTCGGGAATCTAAATCGAAAGAAAAATCATGAAGAAATTTGAATAGTTTTTTCTTTATGTTGTTCGAAAAATAAGTCAAATAATGTATTACGTAATACTGCTCGAAAAACATTTTTTAGGTTATATTGATATGAAAATTATTTATTCTTCCTATAATATATTTTCTTTTAACAATTGAATTTTCATCATATGGATTATGTAAAATTAATAATTATTATAATCACATATATTTCAAAGACGTCTTTACTTGTCCTTGATTGTTTTTAGATAGAAACGAATTACTTTGCTTGGAGTTGAAAATTTCCAATAAACAACAATGACTCAGGATGATTGTTGAAGTTTTACTAGCCAAATCATGATTATTCATTCATTCTCATCAAAAATAAAATTGTATATAAATAGTTTATAAAAACCAGTTGATAAAAAATACGGTATTAAATTAAGTAAACTAAATCTTACAAGTAATTTAATAGTAAAACTAATTTTTTGTTCGATACTCATGTTCATCAATTAATTTGCTCACTGTTTAATCTTTCTTACTCCTCAAATATGTAATCTACACAAATTAGTTCATATGCATTTTATATGATCGTATCATAAATACAAATCATATTAAAACTTCTCAAAAATATATTAGATAGTTTTAACATTTGGTTCAATAAACAGAAGTTCTAAAATATAAATGGTAATATTTTTACAAACTGAACGAAGACCTATTCTAAGAGATTTAAATGAATAATTATTCGTTTTATTAAACAGAGTGCACCATGAAGTTCTTGTGGAAAAATTCAGTCATCCTTTTGTGAGTCATGTACTGGTAAGTAAATATCAACAATATCATGTTTTCTTTTTCTTTCTTGCGTTCCTTTTAATTTTTTATCCATAGAATAAGTTTGTGCATTCAAAATGATGAAGATTCATGAGTCAGTTTTTTACAATGAATTTTGACGACATTTTTTCTGTTGAAGTCCGCAAAGTAGAGAATTTTTGACTCATTACACACATATAGAGATTCATATATATGTTGTGGTCAAAATTCAAATCCAGTCAAATTTTTGAATTTGCCCAGGCAAAATTCAAATTAGAATTTTGTCTAACAAAATCTCAGTCAAAATTCTAATTTCGATTTTGACTGGAAAAATTCTAATTTCAATTTTGACTAGACGAAATCGAAAATTCTTTTTGATAAACAAGATAAGTTAAAAAAAGAAACATAAAGAAGCGACTATTTTTTTATTTCACAAAATTCATTAAGTAAAGTAATAATAATCCTAAACTAATCTATTCCATGTTTAAACATCCACCTCTTTTTGAGTGACACTTTGTTGAGCAGAATACATTTTCTTTTTTGCATGGACATGTTTTGGCTGCACACTTAGTTCGACAGTTACAAGTACGTCCGGTAGTGGAGCCACGAGAATAAAGCTTTGATGCTTCAATAATAGTTATTGGTTTTAAATTATCAACATCTAAGTGTTTCAATTCATAAGGACACGCATCTTTTAAATCATAAAATTGTCCAATGTCAAATGTATTTTCTAAAGCACCATATTGACAAATTAAACATAAGTAAAGTTAGCACCAGATTCGAGTATTTCTTGTCCCGATTCGCTATCTTACCTATGTTAACTCTCTAAGCAGGGTGTGGGTGTGTGGGTGGGATGTGGGGTGTGTGGGTGTGGGAGGGTGTGGGAGGGTGTGGGTGTGGATGTGGGTGGTTGTGTGGGTGTGGGTGTGGATGTGGGTGGTTGTGTGGGTGTGGGTGTGGATGTGGGTGGTTGTGTGGGTGTGGGTGTGGGTGTGGGTGTGGCTCTCCTGTGAACCGACACCCATACCCACTCACAAAAATAAACTAGACCGTTTTGTATTTAAATTAATAATCATGATGGTTGTTGCTTCATCTATTATTTTACTGCCTTTTTCTATCGATAGTTATTTTATTTCATATTACGTGAAACAAGTATGTATTTAAGTTTCAGAGAATCTATAAAATTTGTCTTTTTTAATACAAGAAATGCATCGATGGTAATGAATTTAATAATAAATCGAAAAAAAAACAAAACTCAGATTTATACGCATCGTTATTATTTCAATCAAAACATTCAATGACAAGTGTTAACAATGAGCCTCTTTTGGATAAGCTATCAATAAGTTTAGATCATTGAAGCAGACTATTTAAAAAATAAGACAAGAGCATGCTACTCAATTGAAAATAAATACTTTCTAGATATAATCTTGTTGTAAAAATAAAATTAGAGAAAAAGATTAGTATTGGCGCTAATGATAATGTTTATCGAGCTAAATAGCAACAAAATACAATTGCTGTAAAAACCCTTCTATCCTACGAAGAACCTACATGGAGGCGAGAAGTTAATATTTATGAAGAATTTCATTTACATCATGAAAATATTCTTCGACACATTGCTGTTGACAGTATGGCAAATATTCGAGAGAATGAAAAACATCGTTTTCTACGATTATTTTTGTTTGATTGATTCCTTATTTACTCGATAGACTTGATATTATTAATTCACAAATATCATTCCTAGTATTCATCAAAATTACATTATAGTTTTCGTATTATTATTTGTTTATTGTTTATGCTTGTTTGATGTGTCTTTCGATTCCTTCCAATACTGATAATTCTTCGGAGCAATGTATTACTAATGATTAATTGATTAAGTTTCGAATATAATCCTCAACATAGTAACATCTATGAGACGACAACCATGGCATTCTTCTGCCCATCTTGGTCCATGTCTGTAATCAAGATACTATGATAATTCTCGGAACCATCGAGGATTCTTTGATTGAAAAATAACTTTTACAAGGATGACGTTCGAGGGTTTCAACTCTGATCGTTTGATAAATTTTGTGTCATAGCATATGTTTCCTTGACACTATTCAAAACAAATTTATCTTAAACAAACCACATGACAAAGGATTCAAAATAGTGCCAACACAATTTTTCAACCTTTATCAACAAATCTCTTGTATCATCTCCGAGTTCTGATCTTAGTCAAACAGAATATCGTATTTGGAATGGTTTCGTCAAAACTATTAACTGAAATAGAGTGATATCAAAAGAAATGTTCTAAATCAACAGTTGAAATGTTCTGTAAACAAGAAATTAATAAAAATTCTCCGTGTAAATTGCAAATTTTGGACAAATTAATTGTATTGTATGTGATAAAGTCATGGAGAGTATTTATAGCAATAAGTAATATCTATATTCATCTAGAGTACTGAATGCGAAATCGTTTTCTGAAATTTCTTTTTCTTGTTTAAAACAGGTGGGATGAGAACAATATTTTGGGTGACCCATTCTTTATGGTTCATCCATTATTTTCAAATAGCTGAAACTTTGTGTAGAAATTTTAAATTTTAGTTTTATGAGACCATTGTATTGACTGTGCCAAAATCGTACTGTTTCACCATTAAATGTACACTCGTACAAAGGCATCGATGTTTCTTCGACACATTGGACACAACCGTAAGGAATGTCCACAAGGTACACATGTAGCAAGATGACCGCACGGGATGCAGGCTAGTCGTTTTTCTTCGGAGAAGCAAATTACACAAAGATTCGATGTTGATGAGTTTTCAGAGGACTTGCATTGCACTACATCCGATATTGTCAATGTTTTCTTGCTTTTCATTTCGTCTTCTTTTTCATTTGATGATGTTGTTGCTGTTTCGTTTGTAAAATTGTTCAAAGACTGAAAAGTAGCTGATTCATTCGTCAGTGATTGTGCGGATGTTGTTATTTTGGCCTTATTCGTGCTTGCAGGTGAAGTAGGATCAATATTCTGATGTACATGATCTGTCAACGGGGCAGATGCTGTAGTTTGTTCGCATTTTAGAGCTTGTGAAGTACAGTATGCAATAGATCAGTAAATAAAATTCAAGTCGAGACATACCTGCTCTCTCCCTTTCGGCTTGATCACGAATCTTTGTCATTTCAACACTTGGGATAACAATATTTTCTTTCTTCCCATCGATATATTCTATCTGTTTCTTCAATATTGTACAGGCAATGAAAAGATCAGATTCGGATACGAAATCATCGTCTAAACAACAAGAAAAGTAAATTCTTCAAAATGTAAGACAAAGAAAGTATTCATTTCGAAACTCTTTAGATTGTTTACTGGCTCTACTTTCAAATCGAAACTATTATTCAAACTTGAAGCTACTTTCATGAATTGCTCTTAAGCTCTGACGTATACAGATTGAAATGAAAATCAAAGGAAACTAAAAGAAACAACTTCTCGCTGGTGTAAAACTGAAAAATGATTAGGATGTAAATAAGTTTTCTCAGATCATTTCTATTAAGGAGCGCATCGGTATCAATGCCTCGAATATCCTACGCAAACGGATATCTTCTGTTTATGTACTAGGTTTGATTCTATCATTCTAAATACGTTTCAATCGCAGTTGATCTTCCCAACAACGTTTGATGATTGATAATTTGAAGTTTTGATTGAGTAATCTCTGCGATATTGGCAAATCTAAGCGAGCAGCGACCAAACGTGACAAAGTGCTTTCATCTGCTATCTGCAGCTTGAAATCGCTCCCAGGCGAATTGTTGTTACTGGCACCACTAACACCATTTCTCTCTGCAGATCCATTACGTTCAACCTGTTCTATAATCCAGAAATACACGAATAGAATTCATCTAAAAAATAGCATTGCAATAAATGATTTACTGTTTTTCGCTCGGTTACATTCTTGAATCTTTCGATAGAGCTCATTACCACAGAGTTGTTTAGCATAGGCACAGTGTGGATACCAGCGTGCATGTTCAATGGTCGGATTGTCATTGGGACCCCAATTGTTTAGAGACCCATTACAATAGAAACAAGTGACGATGGTTTTGATTCCAGTGTAGAAGAATCCAGCACGAACGAGATCTTCAATCGATGGTGACGGATCGCTAGGCCAATTAGCAAACGATGCCTGCCGTTTTGGAATTTCAGTATACGCAGAATGGCAAGCTGATGTCAATACAATCTCATTGTAACGAAATGCATCTGAAACAGCCGCTCCATTCATTATAGGCGCACGATTATTAGTTGATTCGTTGACAATCAATATAGAATGTTTTTCGCATTGTATCAGCATGGACATAACGAACGGACATTGAGATCTGAGAGTTTTGTGTACTTCACCAGGATCATCTGAAGAGCATATCCATTGCTGACAGATAAGATTGCAGTAGATACAAATGACACGATCTCCGACATTACAATAGAAAAATCCAGCTTCTATCATTTGATCTCGAGATGGTGCTTTCTCTTGTAGCCAATGTGAGAATGAACGCCTTCGTGCTTGTTTTAGTGTATCAACTTCAACAAGTAGATTCCGAGTCGTATCTTTAGGTGTAGCTTCAATCTTTTGTCGTTTGGATAGATTTGTTTCGTCGCTCGTTTCTAATTTTGCTCCAATGAAGTTGACTGTCGATGATTGAGAAGAAATGGTGGACATGACAGCAGAGAAAGACTTCTTGGATTGAATAAAACTACAATTGGGGCTTCTTTCTGCATGAATGGTAAATGGATTCATTGCTGCTGTCCAATCAGATATTTCAACATGGCATGCATCGCACCGAACTGTATCGCCGACGCCCGTATATCTGAATCCAGCCGATTGCATAGCATTTATCGTATGATATACTCCTTGTCTCTGAAGATGAGCACACAATTGAAGGAATTCTACGATTGATGAACTCAAGATTTTTGATGCAAACGCATTCTTCAAGTGAATTTGATTTGGTGAATTATTACGATACATGTTCGGTACGATGCCGACTGTTCGGGTAAGAAATAAATTACTGTCTGCAACAAATAAATAAATAAAAAAAAAGCTTAATTGATACCGTAGTAGATGTTTTAGCATTGGAAAAAGAAATAGTCTTCCAATAGAAAAATATGAATCCAGAACGGATGATTGAATATTTTTCTGAAATCTACACATAGAAGTAGAATCTCATGAGATTCTATTCATTATGAAGCCACTAGAAATGTTGCAACAATTATATTCCAATCAACTGATGCGATTGATAGACGGAGGATACGACAAGTTAGTAAGAAACATGCATGTGAGTTCTCTCCCAAAAAAGGTTCCGTAGAAACGTTTCTTAATGGTCAATTTTCATCATTATCAAATGTCTTGGTCTACCGCAACAATCTTAGAATACTAAATTGAACACTTCACAAAATTCCGTGTTCTCGTCAGAAAATCCCACCCATTTCACTTTCAACAAATTCCATTGTAATTAATAGCATCAACCTCTGTTAGTTGGAGCATGGACATTGTTATTCCGATTCTACCCAGTGACTATAACAATAGATGACTTTATTTTGTTTTGAGCAATATTTTATGAGAGTTTCATCGAGTTTCAGTAAATTACATGGGTGTCCATGTCATGGATGCACACTGTAAGGCATTGTAATCCAAAATGAATGGAAAATATTTATATAAATTCGAAACTTATGTGCAAATATTAAATATCGATGAAAATATGTGCTGCCATATTTCTGGAAACCATTTTGGTTCTGGATCCATCCCATGGCAATATTCGACAGTGGCTTGAACTGTAATTGCTACGTCATAATTTATACGTTAATTCTTGGCGAAAATTATCAATATCGCCTATTTTCTTTGCTGCAATCAAGTAAAGCGCTGAAATAGATACCCATGTTAGAAATAAAGTAACTAGCTTGAATGCTGTATCAGGACGCTATATAAACGTGGTAAGTGAAAAAAATGTGTTTCGGTGAGGAAGAAAGTCATTATTGCACGGAAAAAAGGAAGAATTCAGTGAGACAAACTATTTACATTCTGTTTGTTTGAAAGGTGACAGCAAAAAAAGTACAAGTATAAATTACCAACAATGATGTCATAATAAACATACAAGTAATATTTGTTTTCCTAGGAAGATTTCATCATATCATTAGAATGTGATACTTCCAAGACTATTATCAATCAGTCATTAAATCGGCAATTACCATATCAATTATTCTACTTCGTATTAAAAATAGTATGCTTGAAGTTATATGTAAATATTTATTTAGAAATTAATGTTGGTAAGCAAGTCTCATATATTCCATAGCAAATACAGTCATGCACATGCAAAATGAAAGGGATATCCTACTGGTCAACTCGTCAGCTCGGAAATCTCGAATAAGAAGAAAAGAATAAATATGATAATGATATCTTGTTCGCTGTTTTGTTATTCTCAATTAAACATTTTCCTTGAATTTATCGAAAAGAATTGCGCATACAGATTATAATATCGTCATTAATGCGTCAATAGTAACAAACAAGTAAACATGAGTCATCTAGTTTCGTTGACCGAATAGGAGAATTCATGTAAAGTAAAATACAAAAGTAATACTGTCTATCGTTTTTTCTGCGGTTCTGCACAGCAAATGTAGAAAATAGCTCATCATGATCTGTTTATGTAATACCACAACTGAAGGAACATGAATGTAACAATAGATATCGCTACTCATCGATCTAAACAATCACTAACTCTCCTCTGAGCATAATAGAATATAGAACCGAAATCGTGTCTTTAGGAATCAATAAATTTTCTACAGAGCATGAATTGCATTGTGAAATATTGTAATAAGTACACGCTCATGAAGTATTGATAGAACAAGAATAAAACATGGATAGTAGTATGTCATGAGGAGATATTTGTCGTACTCAAAGTCGTACTAAGCTGAACATTAAATTGGTTATTTCGCCGTTGTTATGAATCAGTATCTGACATCGGTCAATTTTTTTGTGACCCGACCCGAGTCGGACACTTATGAATAAGAATTTGATGCATACTGTGTTATTCTATGTAGGGTGTGGGTGTGGGTGTGGGTGTGGGTTAGGATCAAGAAGATCTACACCCACACCTCACACCTACACCCACACCCATCCACACCCACCCACACCGACATCCGCAGAGTTATGACATAGTTCACATATTAGATATGTAATACACCATCAACCTCATGCTAAGAATAATTACAAACAAGTAAATATTTTGTAAATAGAAATTATCATAATAAACGACATTATCAAAATGTTTATCGAGATAATCAAATGTTTTTTCTTTGCATTTCAATATCGGGTAATATTGTAACTTTCTTGTCATAGGAAAGTAACAATCATGATTTGAACATAGTTCCAAACATTCATAAAAGCCAATTTCCTTTGAAAACAATCATGACACATTCTACATGTTCTCGAGAAAATAGACTTGATTATCATTGCTATATATGCGTTGTGGAAAGACGAAAAGACTACAGATATTTTATTGATTTCCTTTTTCTTTGTTTTTTGATGCTCATTATTTTTAAATGTATCGTATACTTTTGTAAAACTCAATGACTCGAATCTTTCACGGAAAATTGGCCAATAGAAATTTTCATTAAATCGTTCTTTCTTCAGACAGAAGAGAAAAGAAATGTGAGTAAAACGACGAAATCATAAAATAAAAAAAGAAGTCCGAGAGATACAGATCGAGTTACATGTTCCGAATACAATTGCACGTGCTATGAGAAGTAGTGACGATAATCAAATACTGCATTAAACAATAAAAACAAGGCTGTCATAAATTGAATAGCATAATAATTATTGGGAACAGAAGAATGTATGGATTGCTTACGAATCTACACAGAAAAACGTGCTTGTGTTTACATAAGAACAACAACCCATATACCTGTGTCGCATTTTGAGAAAGAAAGAAAAAATAACTTCAGATCTGTATGCAATTACGTAGTTTCTTGGAATATTTACTATTACTTTTTCATCAGTAAAAAAAAATTGTTTGACTTACGTATGTATATGCGGCTGTATGAAGTGCAGATGATAAGTTTTCATCGATTTGTGCTGTGCGGTTACTAAAAGCTGTAGCATATTTTATATAAAGAACATAGAAGACTGTATGAGTAATTATGTGTAAGTGTGACTATGGTAAAGAGGACTGATGAGTAAGCGACACTTGAAAATCATATTAAATTGCTTGAAGAGGTCGCACTGTTCTAAATCAGCTAGAATGAGCAATTTTCATGATTAATACAGCGCTTTATTCATGCGTCATACAATATTTGCCAAGTAGGCGCATTTGATTTCAATTGATTCACCATTTGCATGCCTAAATTATGCATCGACAGTTCACATTCATATTAGTACTACATTGTAAAACAAGTATTGTTCTGTATCCACCAAATACTAAGCATGAGTGTTAATGAAGAGACGATATCCTCTCATATTTAAGTTTTTACATTTTGTAAGCTTCCTCATTCATTCAACACACAAAGAAATCGTTTGATTTCGGCGTGAATCAAATTATAGAACTTTATTGAGTTCGGAAATTTCATGTAGATCAATCCGGATCCAGATCTAAAATAGAAAGTTTTTTATCTTCAATTATGGATCAAAAGTCAAGTTCAACCATGAACTAGGGCGTGGGTGGGTGCAGACGTGACTGTGGGTGTATGAATGGGTGTGGGTGTGGGTGTAGGTGAGAGTGTGGGGTGTGGGTGTATAAATATGTTAGATATCTACCCCCATACTCACCCACACCCACACCCGGATCCGAGATCCACTTTTTTTCGTGACTCCATTCAAGTTGAACTCTAGTGTCAGGACTTCTCTTTTTCTCTTGAAAAAGTCAACTTCTCAATCCCTTTTTCTTCCTTTAATTTTGAAGTTGGAAACAAATTATATGTCCTATGTGTTTCACCGATATTCCGCAGTTGAGATAGCAGGTTTATGTGACAAAATGTTTTCTTGTTTTTCTTTCATACTTTATATATGCACCCTGCGATCAGTTAATTACCATTAAACAAGCAGTGCAGTTACTATCCATCCTTTCCAAGGTTAATAAAGAAAAGTTGGTGGATCAGAAAAAAGGATCATAGAATAGATAACTTTATTTGATACGAAGCTTTTACGCTCTCTGTTAGAGAACTTTTACATGCAAAATCATCTCACGTGACGTTTTTGACTGCAAAATTTTCAAACTACATATCAATCTCAAAATTTAACAATATTTTTCTAGCTCGACCGATCTGAGTCGGACACTGTTTCATCGCGGAACTCGTGTTTGATCATTGATATGTTCACGATATCTATCCAATAACTTCCATTATAATACCTGTAAGATCATGACTTCTTGAAATATAACTCTTTAGTGTTTGTATTCCAACGCCATCATCGACTTCTATATTTTTTCCACTTAACTCGTGAAGTTCATGACTTTGCCAAACAAATCGATGTTAGAAATATCTGCAAGGTAGTCAAAGCTTCTATCTATATATCTTTGAGCGCTTTTCAAAATCCAATGCGTTCACTCAAAAAACGTTCCATTATTGTAGCACTGTCAATTTTGTTGGAAAAGAACGAACGATTTTCGACTTAGATAGTATCAATATTTTTTTTAACTAGTTGATGTCATTTGTGATAAAAGATGATCCAATATCGAAATAGTTCTCGATTACAAAGAAGTACAAATCTGTAAATTGAAAAATTAATGTAGTTAATTGAGTGCATAGATTTGGTAACACAATAGATGGGAAAAAAAACAGCTCGGCTTTTTAATGTTTCTAGAGCAGTCGATGAGAATTTTTGACTAACGTTGCATTTTATCGGAATGACAATCGAACGAACGAGACAGAAAAATTCGATCCTATTATCTGAAGTTGTCAATCACAGCAGATCTTCGAATGAAACCAATGTTAGTTTCATCAGGAAGCACTGATTTATTAAAACCCACAAGTAAATATTAAATCCATAATCGCAAATTCCTGTTTATTGTAACATATCACGCATAATGTAACAAAAAAAACTGAAACTTATGCAAATCGAATAGTGTCTATTCATTATTTTCGTCGATAGTGCCAAAAATGAGAGCCTTTTGATAAGCATTGAACTTATCCAAGGATATCTTGGGCAGGTTACTATGATCATCATCTGAAAATAATTTGGAATAAAATAGGATCAACATTATTTTCATCGAAAAAACTTACAATGTATAATTAATTCTGTACTCCAATATGTTAGAGTGTAATTATTTTCCACCATCTCTTTTCATTTTTCTCTAAATTCATCGAGTGTTTGACCGTTTACAAATGTTGTTGGACTCATACTCACATAAGCAACAATACGTAATAGATCAACGGGTTCATTTGGGTATCGTTCTTCGATAGCAGTAGCAGGCGAATTACAATGAATGAGACGACTATTCCATAGTATAAGGTCGCCGGCACGACAATGAACAAGTTTACCAAGTGTTTGTCCATGATTCATAATCAGATGATTCGAAGGTACCTTGACAAAATCTTTCAAATTTTTGGTAATGTTACATAATTCAGTAAAACGTAAATGTGAACGTGGATAAACGATGAGACAACCACTTCGTTCATTTTGATCGGTCAACGAAACAAAACCTTGAACGCAACAACAATCTGGTTTCGTCTTCGAATTTTGATCTACATGCTCCCAACCACCACCTGTTTTCCACGTCGGATTGTATCGCCAATCGCGAAAGACACCACATTCATCAAAGGACACAAGCAATTGACGAGTGTTTCATAAACGCGCAAAGACATTTTGATTTGAGGATGTGATCGAACACTCCATAAAAAATCCAATTGGTCAATGCCAAACCTAAGGATGGCACCGTGAGTGCTGAAGCTGGGTCTAGAAAAATAAAATATCCATTATTTTTCCTATAAACATGATCGACAAAATATATTTACCATTCATTTGACCATGTATCGGGATCATCGCGTTTAATGGCTCCATTGGAAGTATGTTCGATAAAATTCCACAATAATTGCTAGTCTGCATTAATCTGATCTTGGTTCATGACATCGCTAATGACAACATAGCTGTTTTCGTTTAAATAAGTAAAACCATCTTGTAATGATTTGTCATTCGTCACTGAAAATCGTGGTGATGGTGTTGCATGATCGATTTGATTTACATTCATGTTTGAATCATTGCTTGCTTGATTTATATCAATTAGCTTGTCTATATACCGTTCTGCAATTCTTTCTTCTATATATGCTAGCTTTTATTTAGAAAATGAGCAAATGAAACATGTTATTTGCAGAAACCTAGTTATTTCAAAATAACTACGATGCGTATATTTGAATACGTCTGACTAACGGATTCTTCCGTCATAGCGATAACGCATATCTGTGCGAATATACCATATGCAGGGTTGCGACCTCTTCTGCTTTTTTTTTCTGTCCTTTCTTTTTTTTCTGCTTTTTCGCATATCTTGTCTATTATATTGCATCAGTTTTTCAAAATGTGAAGAAAAATTCTTGTTTTTCGCTGACTGCAAAAAACTGCCAATCTACAACCCTACCAAATAGTTCTGAGACAATCGACAACAGTTTCCAAATACTTTAAGTTTAAGTTGACTGTGAAAGTAAAGAATATGCTTGACATTATTCTTGAGCAACATACCATATTTTATTGACCAAACGAATAATTGCTATTTGATGTCACAAAAATAGTATCAAAAATAAAGTATCCAACGACATAAAATTCTTGAACAAGTATCTTTTTATTCGCCCATTAACTTTTCTTCGATTCCAGACAGTGTCAATGAAAAAAGCTTGAAAGACTGACTATCATAGATGTTTTCATATTGTAAATTATAGTAGTCAGATGTTTTTCTTGACAAGGTTTCCGCTGTAAAAATGCTAGTGATCTAAAAGGAACGGTTAAAAAACTACTGTGAAATAGGAGAAATTATATCTTTTCTGCTTGTGTAGAAGAGCAACATAAATATAGCAAAACTATACATTTTCGGACTGTGTGTTACATTAAACAATGTACCACAACCTAGACAAAATAGAAATCTAAAATTTTAAAATATCTTAGCTATTTTTACTTGAAAAAAAAACAGTAAGATAAACTGTTGTTTTTCTCTATCATCCAGTGCATTTCTTTGATATTTGAGAGTCCAATAAATGAGTTATTTTGTCGAATTTATTCTGCTTTTCAAAACAAGCAAAAATTACGACATGATTTGTCCTCTTTCACGGTACTTTTTTAGCATTTTTGTAGCGGAAAACCTCATGACGAAAAACATCTGACTACTAAAATATGTTAAACGAATACATATCTGCTGTAGTCAGCTTTTCAAACTCTTTTCACTTATAGTATTTGAAAGTGAAGAAAAGTCAATAGGTGGAACGAACGAGATTTGTTACCAAACTTTTACCCGTTGGATATTTTATGTTTGATACTTTTCTCTTGGTCTCAAATTACGAAGATTCATTTGTTCAATAAGATATGAAACATTGGTTAATAATAGTGCCAAACATGTGCTTATTTTCAGATTCAACTTAAACATAAAGTGTTGAAGAACTTTTCTCGAGTATTCTGAAACTTTTTGCGAGTGTTGTATAAACATATATTGTGCAACGAAGATTTTTTGAAAACTATTAAATCAGATGTAAAATGCACATTCAAAAGAAAACGAATCCAATAATTCTATTTTTGTGTCTAACTAAGTTTTTCTTGATTTTGTACAATCAAGATTGAAAATTGATGTGAAATTCATTGTGATTTCATTAAGTCAAAGCTTAAAAGATTGTTTCGCAGCAGAAACACATTTTCTGCTTTTCGAACTTCAAAAGGTGGCAACCCTGACCATATGTTTTTTTTTTCAGCACTTCGTTCGTTGGTCGAGGTAAATCAGCAATGCCGGGTATCGCTTTTGTAAATATGATATAAATTTCTAAGGGTGAATGTTATACTCTTGAGTAAGAACAAACTTCATTTGAATCTAACTACTTTTTTGATTACTCAAGAGTTAAGCAAGCATGTGACTTATAGTAAATACTCGCGATCTATTCGAATTGATAGTGCAACTCTATTGAAACGTTTTTTAAATCTACTCAACCACAACCAGGGTGCGGGCGTAATAGATAAATCGCTGATCGCCGACAACGGTTGTTTTTGTCCATGGCGGAATTTCATCAGGTGGAATTCTTAATATTATATCTATTTAGATAATGTTTTGTTGTAGTTTGACATTATTTGGTACATGAGACGATGATGAAATAGTTACACTTCGATGTTTCGGCGAATATGTCATACGATGGTGTGGGTGAGTACGGGGATAGATATCTAACATATTTATACACCCACACCAACCCACCATCAATGTTCTACGGTTTTCTTTTACAGTGTAGTGTTGTTGGTGTTTGGAATAATCACACAGAGACACTAGTTTCTTGATATATGTCCATTGAAAAGAATGGTTTCACATACGTTTATTTTTTTCTGGTACCGAAAATTGATTGAACATTGGATTGGAGGTAGTGAAAACAAAGGGTGATGAGACAAATATTATGGAGGATTGCTTTTATCGCGAGAGAACACCTCTTTGTCTATCATTAGATAAAAAAATTGTTTTCACGTTCGTCAATTTGCTATGAGGTTCATTTTTTACTTATCGATCAAGAGATTTAATTCTTTTCAACATATAAAAAATAATAATCATAATTTGTTAAAAGTAAACCCTATTTATATCTACACACAATACAGAGAAAAATAGATAGAGGACACAAAATAGAGGGAAAGAAAGAAGAGAATGATTTTAATGACGTTTTCATATTGCGCATAAAATGACAGAGAGAAAGGGATCAAGGGAAAAAACCATTCTCCCATATATGCGTAAGAGTTGATGTATTTAGTAATTACAAAAGAATGACGTAAGCAATTATAGTGGCTAGAAGAATATGAAGATACAAGAGGAACAAGAAAAAAACATACAAATGAGTTGATTTATCAAAAGATAAAGAACTGAACCAACTGAAGAGTGAAAGATTTCTAAGAGTGTTCTTTAACACTATTTGCGATAAACCAATTATGAATATCATGAGCAATGCAAAACATATGTACTTACGGCAATCAAAAAGTAGTGACGGAGGTACTTTATTTTCTTATAGAAAACTTTAAAACCATTTCCTTTTTTATGAACAGATAGAGCGACTTTCACTCTATTTTTCCATGCTATTTGATCTTTATTCAACTGGTATTATAATAATAAAATTTCGATAAGATCTGTTTCATCCGCATATGTGCTGGTAGCAAGAGTGCTCGTGAGAATTTTTTCAATAAAGTTTGATAGAAATAAGATAGAGAATTGCGATTTTCACCGTTGGAAAGAGGAGATGAAGATGCATCGAACCGTATATTACTGATTTTTCCAATATCATTTTTGAAGTTNAGGCGCAGTACGTAAAGAAATACCAGAAGATGAGAAACCATATGAAGTTGAAGAAAATGAAAATTCAGATAAAGAAGTTATTATAAAAAAGATACCATCATCAAATCGTACACCATCAGCAACAACAGTTACTAAATCGAAAAGAAGTTTCACAATACAGCAACAAATCCCAGTTTCTAAACGTTTACGGTTCTCGACAAATGATCCCTATGAACAACGTGAATATGAACGTCTCAATTTACAACAAGTAGTAGATCATATGAAGGAGATGAACACAACTTTGTTGAAATTGCAAAAGCAACAACAATATACGATAGTAGCTGTAGTTCGTCAAGATAATTTTCTAAGAGATTTGTGCAAAAATCAAAAAAAAGCTCGCAAAAAGTTTTAATAAACGTAAAGTAAGAGAAACAAATGTAAATATATTATTAAAGATATGAACCTTTTCTGATTAGATTCCAATTATTTTGGAGGATGCCGATCAAAATCAAGATACTGAGAAAGATCAAGTAGACAATACAAACGTGGTATGTGATTTTGAGAATTCAGTGTTTCATATTTTAAATAATTTATCTCTCTGAAATCATTTGGAATTATTTTAGACGTATACTAGAAGCGATGGTGTTGTTGTAGATTAACTGTCTGTACCAGAAGACAAGCAAAATACCATTAAATATGCTCAAAAGTTAATAGATGACTTATTTGTGGACATGCAGGAGTTCCAGAATATAAATGTAAAGAAAGCAGATGAAGATCCCCATATTAAAAGTATTTATAGTAGGAACAACATAATTTTTCATAATTCTTATGACATACTTTATTTGACTTATCTTAGAAGCTGTGATGAAAAAATTCCAGTATTCAGCAGCTAATATGTCTGTCGTATGGTCACGAGAAATGGGCAAGTCAAGTCAAAAAATGACTTGAAGATTCTTTTGAACTATTTATGACTTGACTTGACTTGACTTGAACCTGCGTCGTGCCAAAGACGGTCAAGTCAAGTCAAAATGCATATACATAGAGGACTTTTATGAATTTGATTTTTGATCTCTAATTTGAAGCGTACTAGAAAAATATAAATAAAAAATAGTAAATAGTAAATATTGCTATAAATCGAGTTCAAGATAAAAGAAGACTGAAAAACGTTCTAATAACTAAACGACATTTTTTAACTTGTATTGGTCATCTAATTTCCCAATGAGATGCTTGTCGAAAGTACAATGATTGTTTTACATTATGTTAGTTGAATTAGAAAACGTTTTTGCTACCTTATTGTTAAAAGTTTAATATGGATCAGCAGAATAATACTACCGAGAGTTCATCTCCATCAAATGATGAACTCGAAATACAAGAAACAGAACCAATTATCACCACAGCAACTACTTCTGAAGGTTTATTATCAAGTTCATCTGTACCTAAAACTGCTCGTGATAAATTTTTTGAAAATCTTCAACATGAAAAGGACAAAAACAGATGGTCAGCTAAATGCTTACTATGTGAAAAGCCTAAAAGAGTTATAGACAAGTTAGGAGTTACGTCAAATTTTACTCGACATGCTCGAGAATATCATAAAAAACAGAATGATCAATGGTTAAATGAATTTAAAAATGTTAATTCAATTGTACAAAAGCATAAAATTACTAATCATTTTCAAAAAAAAAGTCATTCACCTGTTCATCAATCATATGGTCCAAATCATACTCGACAAATCCAGTTATCTATGGCTATTGTGAACGATTTAATTATTAATTTAGGCTTGCCCTTGTCAATTGTGGAAAAACCAGCATTCATCAGTTTCATGCAAAAAGTTGATTCAAAATTCACCATGACAAGGCGAAGGACATTAACTCGAACGACAATACCTTTTTTAGATGATAAAATGAGCGATCATTTAAAAACGTTTTGCTCAACAGCCACTTTATTATCATTAGCATTAGATGTGTGAACTGATCGAAAGATGAAATCGTTTTTTGCAGTAACTGGTATGATATTTTTTTAACAAAATAAAGCTTCTAATATAGTGTTTTTTGGTTTCCAGCACATGCTATCATCGATGGTAATTTTAAATCCTATGTTTTATCTTTTGTTCCATTATGGGGAAGTCACTCTGGTTCATTAGTACTTCAAAAATATGAAGAAATTATTAATGAATTTGGAATTAAAAACAAAGTGATTCGTATAGTTACTGACAGTGCCTAAAATAACATTAGTGCATTTCAAGGTATGATCATTCCTGGTTTTGAACAATACTTTGTTGAAGATGATAATGATGAAATAAATGATGAAGATGATAGTGAATCAGATATGAATAATGGAGAAATTAGTGATGAATATGAATATCCATCAGATTTTTCGTCAACAACAATCAGCTCATCAACATCTATTGATTTAACACTTATTAATGATCTTATTCAAGAGTCATTTAATAGATTGATGGAAAACAATGAAGTGTTTAGAATTCGGTGCTTTGCGCATACCATTCAGCTGGTAGTGAAAGAGGGTTTACAAGAAACTAAATCAATTTTAGGTTCTTTAGAAAAAGTTTCTTCAATTGCAAAACTTGCTCATACCAGCACAAAATTTGCAGAAAAATTAGATTTAATGAAAGTATCTATTCCTCGTGCAGTAATCACGTGATGGAATTCTCAATTCATGTGTGTAGAACGAATTCTTTCTATACCATCTATTGAATTAAATGAAGTTTTGGCTCAATTAAAATACAAAAATTTGTGTTTGAATACACGTGATTTATCTATGCTACAAGAGTTTGTTGCTTTACTATCGTTATTTGCTGAAGCAACAACAGCTACACAACCACAAAATTCTCCATCTATATCGTTTGTGGCACCAAGTATAGTAGCTATTTATTTTGATTTAATCAATGAAAAGAAAAATATACAATATACAACAGCATTTATGTGATGCTTTATTATCTTCATTATTATCAAAATTTGGTGGTTTACTTGAACAAATGGAAGTTGATTTTAATGAACTTAATATTAATTTTCAAATGAACAAAAAGTTTTATGATCTTTATAAAGATCCAGTTTTTCTTTTTTCTCCATTCCTCGATGGAATGTTTAAAATTCGTTGGATTACTGAATCTTTACTTCCTGATTCAACAAAAGAATGACTATGTGAAAAAATTAAAAAATTAGTATTTGACCATTGTTTTCTTATTGGATATGAACATCGTGCTCAAACTGTTCCAGTTGATACAAATTTAACAGAAATACATAAAGAAGTACAAGGTACTTCATTATCAAGCTCAACTACTTCTAAAAGAAAATGTCTGTTTGAAAATATTAAAAATGATATAACACTTACCAAAAAAGTAAAAATTATTGGTTCATATAATTCCATTAAAGCAGAAATATCAAGGTACATTAATGACGATAATAATGAGAGTATGATTCTTATAAATTCAACATCATCTCTTTCATATAAAACATTGACTAAGGTAGCTGTCAAGTATTTATGTATCCCAGCAACATCGGCTGCAGTTGAAAGAACGTTTTCTCAAAGTGGCTTCCTCTTTCGTTCTCATCGTGCTCGTATGTCACGAAAGACTCTTCAACAACTCACATTATTAAAATGTAATAACGGCATTGCATAATATATTTTGCTATTTAGTGTTAGTGCACTTTTCCCTGTCGTTTGTGAGCTTTAATCAAGATATTTGTGAACAGATTTGTTTTTCTTTCAGCTATTTTTTTTTGTATTATTGTGAAACTTTGTTATGAACTTTTTTTGTAAACGATGAAAGTTTTGTTATTATGATCTTTTCAAGAAGAATAGAACATTTGAAAAAATTTACCTGAAATTGAATTTTGACTTGACTTGAAAACATCTGACTTGACTTGAATACGTGCTTGACTTGACTTGAAAATTTTACTAATACCCAATGACTTGACTTGACTTGACTTGTGACCGNNNNTTTCAAGTTTGATATGTATGGTTAAGTCAAAATGCATATACATAGAGGACTTTTATGAATTTAATTTTTGATCTCTAATTTGAAGCGTACTAGAAAAATATAAATAAATAATAGTAAATATTGCTAAAAACCGAGTTCCGGATAAAACAAGACTGAAAAACGTTCTAATAACTAAACGACATTTTTTAACTTGTATTGGTCATCTAATTTCCCAATGAGATGCTTTTCGAAAGTGCATTGAGTTTTTTACATTATGTTAGTTGAATTAGAAAACTGTTTTGCTAACTTATTGTTAAAATTGTAATATGGATCAGCAGATTAGTACTACCGAGAGTTCATCTCCATCAAATGATGAACTCGAAATACAAGATACAGAACCAATTATCACCACAGCAACTACTTCTGAAAGTTTATTATCAAACTCATCTGTACCTAAAACTGTTCGTGATAAATTTTTTGAAAATCTTTAACACGAAAAGGACGAAAACAGATGGTCAGCTAAATGCTTACTGTGTGAAAAGCCTAAAAGAGTTATTGACAAGTTGGGAGTTACTTCAAATTTTACTCGACATACTCGAGAATATCATAAAGAATAGTCTGATCAATGATTAAATGAATGTAAAAAAGTTAATTCAGTTGTAAAAAAGCATAAAATTACTAATTATTTTCAAAAAACAAGTCATTCACCTGTTCATCAATCATATGGTCCAAATCATTCTCGACAAGTCCAGTTATCTATGGCTATTGTGAACGATTTAATTATTAATTTAGGCTTGCCCTTGTCAATTGTGGAAAGACCAGCATTCATCAGTTTCATGCAAAAAGTTGATTCAAAATTTACCATGACAAGCCGAAGGACATTAACTCAAACGACAATACCTTTTTTATATGATAAAATGAACGATCATTTAAAAACGTTTTGTTTAACAGCTACGTTTTTATATTTAGCATTAGATGTGTGGACTGATCGAAAGATGAGATCGTTTTTTGCAGTAACTAATAAAAAAAGTTTTTTAACAAAATATAGCTCCTAATATAGTTTTGTTGGTTTCCAGCGCATGCTATCATCGATGGTAATTTTAAATCCTACGTTTTATCTTTTGTTCCGTTATTGGGAAGTCATTCTGGTTCATTATTACTTCAAAAATATGAAGAAATTATTAATGCATTTGGAGTCAAAAAACAAAGTTATTCTTATAGTTACTGACAGTGCTGCAAATAACATTGGTGCATTTCAAGGTATGATCATTCCTGGTTTTGAGAAATACTTTATTGAAGATGATAATGATGAAATAAATGATGAAGATGATAGTAAATCAGATATGAATAATGGAGAAATTAGTGATGAATATGAATATCCATCAGATTTTTCGTCAACAACAATCAGCTCATCAACATCTATTGGTTTAACACTTAATGATCTTATTCAAGAATCACTTAATAGATTGATGGAAAACAACGAAGTGTTTAGAATTCCGTGCTTTGCACATACCATTCAGCTGGCAGTGAAAGAGGGTTTACAAGAAACTAAATCAATTTTAGGTGCTTTAGAAAATGTTTCTTCAATTGCAAAAACTTGTTCATACCAGCACAAAATTTGCAGAAAAATTAGATTTAATGAAATTATCTATTCCTCGTGCTGTAATCACGCGATGGAATTCTCAATTCATGTGTGTAGAACGAATTCTTTCTATACCATCTATTGAATTAAATGAAGTATTGGCTCAATTAAAACACAAAAATTTGTGTTTGAGTACACGTGATTTATCTATGCTACAAGAGTTTGTTGCCTTATTATCGTTATTTGCTGAAGCAACAACAGCCACACAACGACAAAATTCTCCATCTATATCGTTCGTGACATCAAGTGTCTTAGCTATTTATTTTGATTTAATCGATGAAAAGAAGAATATACAATATGCAACAGCATTATGTGATGCTTTATTATCTCCATTATTATTAAAATTTGGTGGTTTACTTGAACAAATGGAAGTTGATCTTAATGAACTTAATATTAATTTTCAAATGAACAAAAAGTTTTATGATCCTTATAAAGATTCTGTTTTTTTTCTTCATTCCTCAATGGAATGTTTAAAATTCGTTGGATTACTGAATCTTTACTTCCTGATTCAACAAAAGAACGACTATGTGAAAAAATTAAAAAATTGGTATTTGATCATTGTTTTCTTATTGAATATGAACATCGTGCTTAAACTGTTCCAGTTGATACAAATTTAACAGAAATACACCAAGAAGTACAAGGTACTCATTATCAAGCTCAACTACTTCTAAAAGAAAATGTCTGTTTGAAAATATTAAAAGTGACATAATACTTACCAAAAAAAGTAAAAATTATTGATTCATAAAATTTCATTAAAGAAGAAATATCAAGGTACATTAATGATGATAATAATGAGAGTATGATTCTTATAAATTCAACATCATCTCTTTCATACAAAACATTGGCTAAGCTAGCTGTCAAGTATTTATGTATCCCAGCCACATCGGCTGCAGTTGAGAGAGCGTTTTCTCAAAGTGGCTTCCTCTTTCGTTCTCATCGTGCTCGTATATCACAAAAGACTATATAGCAACTGACATTATTAAAATGTAATAATGACATTCCATAATATATTTTGTTATTTAGTGTTAGTGCACTTTTCCCTGTCGTTTGTGAGCTTTAGTCAAGATATTTGTGAACAGATTTGTCTTTTTTAGCTCCTTTTTTTTGCATTATTGTAAAACTTTGTTATGAACTTTTTTGTAAACAACGAAAGTTTTGTTATTATGATCTTTTCAAGAAGAATAGAACATTTGAAAAAATTTACATGACATTGAATTTTGACTTGACTTGACTTGAAAATTTCACTAATAACTAATCACTTAACTTGACTTGACTTGTGATCGAAAAACCACTGACTTGCCCATCTCTGGTTTAGATATTAAAAAAAATGGAATGCAAAGTGCGACCATTTATTCTGGGCCACTCGTTATTTCGCTTGCTAAGCAACTGAGCACCTATGTCGTCTCTTTTTCCGTGAAAAACGACGGTCACCTGTGGTTAATTGACAGTTTTGTTCAGTTATTTTTAGTAACTATAATTTATAAAAACAGTTAATCGTAAACGTATTCATAATATCGAAAGTTTATCAGTTATCAAAAACAAAGATTTAGACTTCTTCTTTCGATATATGCATAATTTCTATAGTTAACATGTATTGATGTTGAATGCGTAGAACAGAGACCCAAACTACTTTTCCATCGTTTGATTCGTTTACTGGTATGTCTATTCATCCGAGATTTTTGTTTCGCTTACAGATATATGTTGTGAGATTCACAATACATACACATCGGGTAGTCTGCATTTTATTGAGTCTTTTTATTATATTGAATTCAGCTCGATGAAGGTTGTAAAAGTATTATTTGAGCTTTTAAGAGAATTGTTCATTGATTTGGCTTTTTTCAATTTGATACAAGACGTTAGTACACAGTTTTGGCTTGATTTTTTAATGTGTCTTCTGCAGATAGTACGGAGTGCAAAAAAAACTGACCCCTCGAGATTAAAATGTAACTGAATATTTATTCGTTATTACAAAAGAACTAAATTATATAACAACAGTAACAATATTGGATATACAATATATACAATATATGCAAGAACAGTTTTACATAACCTTACAATTGAAAATTTAAATCAAAGAATAGTTGTTATTTTCCACCTGTGCGGATCTATTTCTTTATCATATATTCGAAAATTTAATTTTAACAGTCAAAGTATTTGTGATGAAAGTTATGTACAATAGTAGAGTGGGTAACATAGATTGCAGATGTATGTTGTAATGTAATGGTTATTTTGTGTATGCATTATTATAATTTGTGAAAATCTTGTCATTGCTAAGAGTCTTTCCAAAATTTTTCAAAATAAGAAATTTAAAAAAAATGACTCGATTTCAAATTTTCTTTATTTTAGTTGGG